ACCTGACTGAAATTGGCTCACCTCTCTGTTTTTCATCCCCTGGGTGCTGCCTTGTGGGCGACTTTCATCGGGGGCATTATCATGTTCGAGTAATGATTTTTTTCCCTTCTCTTTAGCTATTAATCGAAATTGCAGCTGCTCCAATTTTATAATCTTATTTGTATGAAAAAGTGTTCCACTCAGTTGGGAACTTAAGTAATATATATGAAATTCCAAATACTAAATGTTGGGTTTTGAGAATGGGAGTGACATTAAGCAAAAAATTTGATAATTTTTTATTCTAAAGCTCCAACTTTTCTTAATTATACAAATTGTGATTATTTTATAGTAAATGTTTGCTTTTCATTTTACCTTTTTCAATGTGGTTGTTGGCATCCGAACATATTGATTGCAATTTTCTAAAAAACTTTTATTGTTTATAGATAGTTATTTGCATGTTGCTTGATAGTTGTTTTATTGTTGTTTTTTGATACCTATCTTGTTTCTTTTTTCATAATATACATCATTAATTTTTTAAGTTATAATAACAAACTTTTTTGTTGATTGTTCTGTAGGTACATAACCAATTCATCAATCTTTTTTTTTTTTTAACTTAAATATTGCTATCGTATCATTTAATTATTTTTATGTTGTTTTACTGTTGTTTTCTTGTTGATTAAATGTTATTATTGCTTTGTTGTAGGGCTGTAAACGAGCCGAGCCGAGCTCGAGCTTATGGTGTTTGAGCTCGAGCTCGAGCTCTTAACGAGCCGAGCCGAGCTCGGCTCGTTAAGTAAACGAGCCAAAAATCAAGCTCGAGCTCGGCTCGTTAAGGCCTCGAGCTCGAGCCTTAACGAGCCGATCTCGAGCTTTAAAGAGCCGAACTATAAAAAATTACATAAATTTCACTTTTCGAGCCTTAACGAGCCTTATCGAGCCGAGCCGAGCTCGGCTCGTTAACCAAACGAGCTTTAAATGAGCTCGAGCTCGGCTCGTTAAGGCTTCGAGCTCGAGCCGAACCGAGCCTTAACGAGCCGAGCTCGAGCCGAGCCAGGCTCGTTTAATTTAACAGCACTACTTTGTTGTTACATGGAAGATTTTTTATTTATTTGTTTTCATATAATTTCTTGAATGCATATAATATGTATGTATTCTATTTTATAACTATTGTTGTGGTTGTTAACTTAATTTTATAATTTTTTCTTGCTTTTATTTAATTTAATTGTTACATATGTATATATATATACATATATATATATATATATAATCACTTGCTTTTAAGTTTAGGTAATAAGGTTTGAAGAGAAGAAAAAGAAGAAGAAAGAAGAAGGAGAAACATTA